GGAGAAAGAGAAATTCAGGATGAATCAGGAGTTTCTCTCTCCTGCCGGTACCTGCTGTGGCACAGCTCCCTAATTCCCTTTCCCATGCAGAACACGTCCTTCACACAGCAGTAAGATCTGCATTTTTTCAGTATGTGCATTACTCATCCTGACCATGAAAAGTGCAACTAAATGGTGCCAGAGTAGATAACAGCCACCACACACTGCTTGGAACCATAAAGGGCACGGCCTCGTTAACCCACTCTCCCCACGGCAGCCCACAGCTGAGCCCCCAGAAAGCTCCTTGGTGAAGACCAGGGACTCTGGCTAACAGAGCGCTGAGCACAGAGGCAGGGCAGCGCGCCTGGGCGCACCAGGCCCATGCTAATGCAGCACCCAGCTGGGCTGGGGACATGGGACACGGGACATGGGACACGGGACGTGGGACACAGGGCACGTCCATGCCCCCTGCCATGGCAGAGCAGGGCTGGCTGTCCCGCCTGGCACTCAGGGCACCCGCGGTGCGGGCGCGTGGGCGGCGTGGGCACGGTTTGCTGTCCGGCACCGTGCCGTGCGCGGCGCACCGCGGAATGCAGCGCGGCGAGTTCCTCGCAGCAGGCCGCAGTGCAGGCTGTCATGCTGCTAATGCGGCGCTTCCCCTGCCTCACGCTGAGATCACGCTTTGGGCTCCGGGGCTGACCTGGGAGTCGCTCCTGCTCCCTGGCCCGGTTGCAACACAGCCCGATCTATAAACACAAAAACACATCCAGCTCCAGGACCACAGACAATATGTTCCTGGTGTTTTTTTCTCTCCTGTATCACCACCCGTGCTTTGGCACATTCTTGTCAGATTCCCATACCCACTCTGGCTCTCAACATCCCTCCTGAAGCAACCAGGGGGCTCAGGTCCCTCAGCAGGGCTGACTCCCCAGTGGTTTTGGGGCGCTGCCCTACACTGCCCAGGACCCCGCTCCCACTCTGCCAAGGCTGCTGCAGGCAGCGCTTCCAAAGCAGCGGCAGTGCTGGGCGCAGAAGGACGCAGCTCACGAGCGAGGCCCCTGCCAGAGTTGGCTGACGCAGAGCTGAGGAGGCGCGAGGCTGTGTCACTGCTGGCCTTCCTTCCTCCTGCTCACCCGAAATCAGAACTCCAGGATTTCCAAACAGCTGAATGAGACTGGCCCTATGCAGCACGATGATACGTGATCATTTCTCTGGCTCTTTCTACTCTTTTTTTGTCTCAGATATGCTTCTAGAGATGGAAAAGCATATGCATTTCATGCATTTATATGTTTATATATGTATTTATTCACTTGAAATTAAAAACGCTGCGTTTCCCGAAGAAGATGCGATTGTCGTGAAGCATGGCTAAATCTAGTTGCTAGTCAGAGTCACCATGAATCACGGTGTTTTCATAATGCTATATTGCTACAGTTCCTCCTCTGTTACATTTTAAGACCTTCTCACTCAAGTTTACATAATCAATCCTGAAAGGTACAACATGTTCCTTGAGATAAACACGACTAGTAATCATCCCTTAGTCTTGTTCTTGTTATAAAAGTTCATTGGTCACAGAATATTTTACATTTCTCCCCCAGAGCATGGGAAAGAGCCCATAAAGCAGCAGCCGGGGACCTCTGCAGAGCTTCCTCCTCTGCACCAGCTCCGCCGATGCTTTATCAGCTGCGCCCCAGCAGCGCTGCGCTCCCAGGACCCAGCACGCCGAAGGCACCCTGGGCTATTGCCTACCCCATGAAGCTGGAGCAAAGGCAGGGTGGTCATTTTTCCCACTAAACTTTATGGCAGAAAAAGCAAATTAATGCAATTATTTCCCCGTCACGTCACTGAACACAGAGTGTATCTGGGAGTAACTTCACCTGTGGCAAATCCCTGCCTGAGCACCGAGCCCTTGTGCTGTGCATCCTGCTAGTTTTAAGGCCACAGAGGTGTGCAGCCATGGGGTTAAATCATCAGTCATTAATAGATGGGCTAAAGTAAGTTGGGCCTGAAATAGGTTTTGTCCTCTCTTTCCTGTTCTGAACCAAACAGGGCAGTTGGAGCTCCCTGAATTGGAGGGAGTGCATGGAGCCCATACTCCGGCAGTGCATGTCCCTGCAGGAACCCCACCACCCCACTACCCTGCCGCCCATTGCCCCACCACCCCACCACCCCATCACCCCCCCGCTCCCAGCCCCTCGGCGCCAGGCAGCGGCCGCCAGCGCAGCGCAGTGGCTGTGGGAACGACCCGTGGGGACAGCTTCCCTCCTGCCTCCCGCTGTAAAACACACCGGTCTTCACTTTACTGCCTGATCTTTGTAACGCAAACAGAGATTAGTTAAAAGGTTTTATACGTGGTGATTACCCGTGTAACTCGGCTGGTTAGATGTTCAGTATCCTTTGACTGTGACTTCACCGGTTAAAACTAAATTACTCAGTATATTATTTTGTTTAGTAATGGCGTGTTTCTGATAAACCAAGCAATTAAAGTGCTGAATTAGCCTGGTTGCACCCTAGTTAGGAACAGGTGATGCCATTTCACTGGACAGTGCAGAACAGCAGTGTTCCTGCTGCCCGGGCTGCAGCTCCTCACCACAAGCAGCGGGTGAATCCAGGTGACGTGGAGCCGTGCGCTGCTCCCGCTCCTGTGAGCAGGGGGGCTGCCTGCATACACCAGTTGTCCAACTGGAAGCCTCGCTGCAGAAATGACTGGTATTGAGCACGTACATCTCGCAGTTAAATGGCATCCTAATTAGGTCCTGAGCAGTGCACACGTTGAGCCCTGGGTAGGACTGCGGCCAGAGCCGCGCTGCCTCCTCGGGCCAGGACAGCTCCGGAGGGGGGCAGCGTGGTGCGGGGCTCCAGCAGAGCCTGGGTAGATAAACACAAAATAAATAATAATAATAATAAAAGCACTTCTCCCTCTCTATTTCTGTGTCTCAGAGAGCTTTTCCACTCACCAAATGCTGCCGCAGAAGGGCAGCTCCCTGAGCCGTGTGATGGCCCCGGCGGCAGCGGTGGCACCACGGCACCAGGGCTGGACACCCCGGATGGCACCCACCCCCCTGCTGAGGGGCATCATTGGGCCAGAAGAAATGTGGGTTTACATAAATGAAGGAACCAGTTATGAAAAGCTGTATGGGTTGTCCAGTGACCTGAGTGTAACTGCTGCGTGACTTCTTCCCTGTGGAACTGTCCCAGGATCTCTGAGTTGGGCTCTGGCACAAACACCTCCACTTATTTATCTTATTTTTTAAATCTTTATTTACATCTTCACTTACAGCTATCCCAGAAGCCTTTTCAACCTTCTTTGTATCAACTTCAGTCACCATTAAAATATTTAATTTTACCAGGTAAGTTTAGGACCAGCTGATGTTTTAGACACATTACAGATTAGATCGATGGTGCCATTTTCTGTGCCAGTTTGTCCCGTGTACCTAATTTCTCAGCTGTATTTAACCGCTGTCAGTAGTGCATCACGCTAACATAACACACAATGCCCTGGGTGTAGAGGAGATCATCGCAGTGTTTTTCAGCTGTATTTTTAGCAGGAGGTTTTTGCTTATGAAATAAACTTTCTCATGAAGCAAGTAGAGAGACAACGCAAAGTCAAGCAAAATCCAAGGTCATTTGGCTTCGTTGGCTTCACAGCTGATTTTTCAACCTACTGAACAAATGGAGCCTGCTCTATTTTCAGCATTAGAGCTGCCAGTGTTGTTAATGGACATTGTTCTCCAGGGAAATAAGTAGCAATAGAAGGGCAATTATTTTGACAGGACAGAGGTTAGAAACTGGGTAAGTCCCGGTATTCACCGTGAAACCTGTTCATTCTAGCTTCACTTGAAAATACTGTTTAAACACAATCCCACATTCCAGTTTTGACATAATGGTAGGAGGTACTCTGGTGCAATTTAAAAGTAAAAATCCCTTTTGTTCCCAAACAACAAAACACAGGGACATTTGGGAAAGTCTGACCAAGTCTTGATTGAACAAGAATCTGTGGTTACTTTTCCTAGCAATCGTTACGTTTTACAATGCTGAGCCACTGTGCAGCAATTTATGGTTCCAAGGAGTTTTATACACGTTTACTGTTCTGCTGGCAGGAGTTAACAACTCCCACAGTCACTCAAGATGTTCAGGGTTTTACCTCTAAACCGTGTTTGTGAGGGACTGTTGGGTTCAGGGGTTGCACCTCGCTGGCACAGCGTGTACTGGCCCTGGTGTGGGAAAACACAGAAAACACACGTATCTGGGGCTACATGTGTAACACCCCCAAAGGACTAATTGTGTGATCAGCAGGAACCGGCGTGTAACAGACGTGAGGATGAGATTAAGACATAAAATGCAAATGCGCAGCTGAAGTCTGAGAAGGGCTGACAACCCAGCCATGGGTGCGCGGCCTCATCCCAGCACTCATGTTCCACCTCAAATAAACCAAAGAGCTTTTTACCCATCTGCTGATTTTTATTCTGGCTTTGCGAGATGTCCTTCGGTTTTCTTGTCATGTTGTGGAAGCAGAGATCATTTATCCTAGCAAGAGATCACCACCTTTCGGGAGCATCCTGCCGGGGCCGGGGCAGCCTTCCTGCTCTGTTTAAGCATCAACACGGTGCAGCCTGTGCTTGAAAGACAGGCGGTGTACAAAACACCTGCAGGGAAACGTGCCCAGCAGCGGTCTTGATAGTAAACACAGCTGCTAACGGGGAGTTTGGGACGTCAGGACGGGGCTGGGAGCTCCCTTCGGAGCATGAGCCCGGCCAAACGCCGCTGCAGCCGCCTGCGCTTAGGGGCCAAGAGCAGCGGCGCCCCCCGGCTGCTGCACGGCCCCGGGGGGGCGCGGGGAAGGCGGCCCCGGAGCGAGGCACCCCCGGGGCGGGCAGAGCCGGAGCCGCCCCGCGCGGGGCCGGGGACAGGGGGGGCTGCCCCGGGCCGGGCCGGCGGGGGGACGGGGACGGGGACGGGGACGGAGCAGGGCCCGAGGCGGCCGGGGGGGGCCGCGGGGCCCCGGAGGGCTCCGACGGGGCGGGCGGGGCCGGGGCGGGGCACGGCGGCGGCGGAAGGGCCCGGCCCGGGCCGGCCTCAGGGCGCAGCGCCCGCGGACCGCGCGGGCACCGGCAGCTACGGGCAGGTACGGGCAGGGCTCGGGGGCTGGGGGCTGGGGGCTGGGGGCTGCCGCTGCCCAGCGTGGACGCGGCGCCCCGGCCCGACGGCTGCCGGTGGCGGTGCCACGCCGGGCGCTGTCGCGGGGAGGCGACGCCGCCGTCGGGGCGCGGGGCCCGGGCAGGACGCGGGGGCAGCGCGGGGGCAGCGCGGGGGCAGCGAGGCGCCGGGTCCGGGGGCGCCCCGGGACGGCCCAGCCCGACGGCACCGCGCGGGGCGGGGGCGCTCGGTGCCCGGCAGCACCGGGACGTGCCCCGGGTGGGGGCCGTGGGTCGCCGTCCCGGCGGGCGCAGCACCGCGCGCAGAGGGACAGAGCTCGGGGCGGTTCTTTGGCGGCGTTTTTGGGGGATGCGGAGCTTCCATGGCCGTGGTGCCCGCAGTGAGGAACCCGCTGGGACCGCCCCGAAGCCGCCCGACCTTTTCTGGCTTTGGCAGCATCCGTGCGGGTTACCGTGCCAGCCGGGTGTCCTGGACGCGCCTACTGTGCAGTCAGGTGTAGTTGTTCTTATTTAACCTCTGTTTACACAGGGCCTTCATACCTTAGTCTCCCTGATAAGAGGTATGGAAGCAGACCGCAGCTTTCTGAACGTTTCACTGTCCATTTCCTTTGTTCTGGGAAAGGTGCCACCCGCCCCGCGCTGCTGCGTCCCGGGGCGCCGGCAGAGGATGCTCCCTGGCCGGGCTCTGCCTGTTGCAGAACCGCAGCGCTGCGTTTGGGGAGGAGCCACCGAGGGGTTTTGCTCCTCCGCGCTCAGGGATCCGTGCTGAGCGTTGCACAAGCAGCAGGTGTAACTCAGCAACGTCACCTGAGTGGCGAGCGGGGGGTAAGGCTTCTCACTGCCCTGGGAGGCAGCAACATCATGGGAAATCCAGGCTTCACGGCAGGGAGAGAAGGGATGGAGCATCTGATGTACAGTGCAGAAAGGCAGGCAGATGCTTTCTGAGCTCCCAGTGCTGTGTGTGCCTGGCAAGGACCAGGCAGCACCGGCAGGCGTTTGAGCCGGCGGCTGCGTGTGGCATCACACAGAGCCAGCAAAGCAAAGCGCCCGCTGGGCACTCTGTGCCCCCTGCCTTGGGGGGCTTTCATCGCACAGTGACACCTCGCTGCTCCGCTGTTCCTTTCATCTGCCATCCTGTAAACTCGTGGTATGATAAAAAACTTCCCTCTAAGCTGCAAAAGTACCATTAGCTAACATAACCATCTTCTCTAGGAAAACAAGGCTGGTTGTTTTACTGCAGTCTTTTCATCAGGCTCTAGAGGAGATGGCATACGAGCAGCTGATGATCAAAGAGCTATGACTATTGTGTGTCTCAGTAGCGAAAGTAGGGAATAATTGCAGTATCGGGCTGGTACTGCTGGGGTGGTTTTACAGCCCAGGTATCACCTGCAGCCTCCCGGAGTGTGCTGAGTTTTGCTTATGTCTTTATTTCCTGTAAGTGGTAACTGCCCCAGGAAAACCCTGGAGGAGATTAAACACAGTCAACACGGTAATTTCGTAATGTGGAAGTCTGATCTCACCGGTAAGGTGGAGGAGTTTCACCCGGGATGATGCTAGGAGTAAGGCCGGACTCGTGGCCCATGGGGGAAGGTGAGGACACCCGCACAGCACAGAGGCTGCCTTCGGGATGGCCTCAGTCAGCGCGCAGCTGCGGTGCTGCCGGGAGAAGGGCTCGGGGCGGCCGTGCACCGCAGAGGGCTCGTGGCCCTGGGAGCAGGTCCTGGAAGTGCTCCCAGGGGAGCCCGGCTCACAGACAGGTGCCAGCGGCAGGGCCGTGGTGCTTCGTTCACTGCACACCGCGAGGTGCAGCCCTGCCAAGCCCCGGGGAGCCGCGCAGCAGCCGCAGCGCATTTACAGGTGGCTGAGGGGAACACAAGGTCTGCTCCCATCGGTGTGTTAGAGGGGGAACCTGCAGATCAGCAGTGCGATGATAAAAAACACAAAGGAGGAAAAGGAGCAGGGCAGCCCAACGGGTGTGCGTTCCCCTGCCCTGACCTTGGGAACGGAACAGTTCTCCTGGGAGGGAACCCCTGCAGCAGCTGTGAGCTGCCGTGTTTCTGGGGTCCCTGAGCTTGCACACAGCATGAATAATGGGGCTGGGGGCAGCAGCAGGGACAGCGCTTTGTGAGCATTAGCTCAGCACTGCTGTGTGCCACCCACACTGCTGGGGGAAGCCTCCTTGGCCCCTGCCCTGCTGCAGCCCTGCCACCTTCCTCGGAGGGGATTGTGTGAGGGGGTCTCAATTACCTGAACCAGGCCAGCAGCTTTGACATTGAGGAAAAAATGGTTTGGATCAGTTTAAAACATATCTAAAAACTATTTCAATTCCATTTTCCACAGTATGGCCAGAGTGTAACTTAAAAATGAGAAACTGCTGCCCTTCAGCACGGTGTTTTTGTGATTGCTGAGCTGAAGACATAAAGCAAACCACAAGGTTTTCTAATCTTTACTTAAAACTGATTTGAACGTGGTCATCTTTTCCTGTGGCAGCACTTTGCCACTGCTATTGCTAGCAAGAAAAAGACACTCTTAAAGTGGTTAAATGGAAACAAATTCAAGATGGAGAATAAATGTGTGAGTGACTCCTGCAGAACTGAACAAAGACTAAAGGCAGGTTCAAAACTGGCCATTGAGCAACTTCAGTCAGACACGAAACATATTCTGCATGCACTCCTCAAACCGCATGTACACATCTCAACATTGTCATCAGGAAAAAAATTGTTAAAATCAGGCTTAGGGAACAGTATTAAAAATAACAACTTCTTCTGGTGTTCTCAGCTTGATGTGCAGCTGATGGAGCCGTGCACCGAGCACCTGGGATCCTCTCTAGCAGGTTTCAGGGAGCAGCAGCAGCCCAGGCTCCGTGCGCAGGCAGCGCCGTGTGTCAGCAGGAAAGCAAACAGATTGCAGGGCATGCAGCCAGTCAGGTCCAGCAGGGCTGGATTTTGCCCAGCAAAGTGTAGGTGTGTTTTAAATTTAATCTAATCTAAATCTTTTATTGGATTTCTTAAAGGTGGAAAATATTTACTAGTTTGCTTTGCTGGTCTCTCTGCCTTTAAGTGTATTTTGACTGTACTGTTTATAAATCAGACCCGTCTTGGTGCCTGTGACTTGAGCCCGGTACTGAGTACTGCTCCTTACTGAAATATGGCTGTATTAGTTCAGTGCTACTGCTTCTAGGATGCTGTGATACACACAGCATTTATCTTGAATTCTATTCCCCTACAATTGAAGTCTGGAGAATTTTCTAAGTAGCTGACTCTGTTTTGTTTTGAAATCCTGCCTCAGGATATTAAGATTTAGTAACACAAATTCTCGCCTTAAAAATAGCAGCACAAAATGTTCTATTTACTCACAATATGAATGTAAAATATGCAGCATCTCTCACATGAGCCATAGAAACATACCGATACTATCTTAAAGACAAAGGAATTTGGTGGGAAAAAAACATCCATTGTTCTTCCTCTGGCGGGCAACATGTACTTAACAGCATTCTTGGTCTGGGAAAGACACTGCAGTTTCTAAGTCCTGTCCCCCCTTGGTATTCTGGCACACTGCAATACTTTTTCCTCACCCACTTTAAGATCCCCTCTGGTAAGCCCCGCGTTAGCCGAGCACCACGCAGGGTTATCCTGAAGGGGTGAGAGCAGTGCCTTTCCACGTCTGAGCGCTCGGTCCGTCAGCACTGACCAAGCCCTCAGACACTGTTGGGCTGCAGCAGCAACAGCGCTTGTGGCTTTTTACAGTGACCTGGGTGACACTGGGGGCAAAACACCTCCCAAGGAAACCCATTACAGGCTAACTTGAAATGACAGAGGCCTGGGGATTCGAAGCCATTTTCGCACAGGGCTGTCCCTCTGTCCGTCTGTCTGCCCCAACGGAGGAGCCCCGCGCGGTGGAGGCTGCGAGGGGCCCTCCAAGGACAGCTGCTGGTGGTGCTGGGAGGAAGCCCAGGGCCAGGGCAGCTCCTGCTGCTGCCCCGGCACCGTGTGCCCACCCTGGTGCAGCACGGCCACCCTCCGAGGGATGGGAAGGACGTGTACAGAGCCAGGGCTCTGTGTGCTACCGCCAGGCACACAAACCTCGTGCAGGCCCAAGCAGCTTCCCTCCCGTGGGGCTGAGAGGCCCCACAAAAAGGGACACGGCCGCATCCACCACTTCTGGAACTGCAAAGCAGAAATCCCCCCTTACACTCTCTCAAGAATTTGGGGCCATTTCACTGTCACAGCCTGCCATGAGGAGCTCCAGTCCCAGGTTTCTGCAGGGCTACAAACCGGGGCCGTCACCACGTAACTGCCGTTCTGCCCCGCTGGCAGCACCGCTGGGCTTGGCCTGCTGCGAAGCCCTGCTTCTCCAAGCAGCTGCTCTGATCTCTCTTTCCTGCTTGCAGACACCAGGATGAACGTGAAGAAGTACTTTGTCCGGGCCCTGCACCGCCTCCAGAAGGGCCCCGGCTACACCTACAAGGAGCTGCTGGTCTGGTACTGCGACAACACCAACACGCACGGCCCCAAGCGCATCATCAAGGAGGGGCCGAAGAAGAAAGTCATCTGGTTCTTCTTAACGCTGCTCTTCGCGTCTCTGGTCTTCTGGCAGTGGGGTATCCTCATTAACACGTACCTCTCCTACAACGTCACGTCGTCGCTCTCCATCGGCTTTAAGACCATGAAGTTCCCAGCAGTCACGGTCTGCAACGCCAACCCCTTCAAGTAAGTTTTCCTTTGCCTGATTTATGCAGTTGCATGTGAACACACGCAGTTACAGCACAAGATACACGGGGCTGTTCCTGTCTCAGGTATCATTGGGAGCAGCAGTGAAAATTATCCTTTGACTCACCAAGTGGCACTAAAAAACAAATGAGAACAATGTAAAAACAAATGGCTCGGTTCCAAAGCAGGGGTTGTGTGCTTGCGAGTTTGTCTGTTTCTCATTACTGTATCAGCTAATCTAATAATGGTTATTGCCTCCCTGTAAACTTTCCCTGGCTCAGAGAAAACTTGAAGTTCAACTAACTTGTCACAATCAAAATCAGTCTCGTGATCTCTCCCCACAATTCCTTTCTTTTTCCTCGCCATGAACATACCTCTTATCGCGTACACTCCAGCCATTAAGAGCTAGTTAAACAGTGATATCTGCTGTGAGCTACAGCAACATAATTACAATTTCAAAGGAGCAACTGATCTTTGCTAGGGTTGCTTCAAATTTATATCCACGCAGTAGCGTAGCGCAAGGTGAGATGCTCTCGCCTGAGGCACAGGGATCTGTTGTTTTTTCTCTCTGCTTGCTAAAGTTGTTTTGTGTAAACTTCAGTGAATTGCTGAAATACAACACAGGCAGCCCTGTGCCAACAGGCTGTGAGCGAGGTTTGCCAGTGAAGGACTCTGTTTATCTCCGGATGATTTTACACCCAGCTGCTGGGAGACGCGGCGCCCCGCTGGCTGCGCACAGAGCCTGGCGCTGCCGTGCAGCTCGCCTCCTGCAGCTCCCCGCAGCCGCAGCCCCACACGGGCCTGGCGCAGCGGCGTGACGGAGCCCGGCCACGTCCCGAGCGCCCTTACACCAGCTGGTGCCCGCCTGTCGCCCCGCAGGTACTCGGAGGTGAAGCACTTGCTGAAAGAGCTGGACAAGCTGATCGAGGCGGCTCTGGAGAGGATCCTGCAGCCCACGCACGGGGACACCATCACACCCCTGCTGCTGAACGGCAGCGACAATGCCTCCGAGGGGCTGGATCTGGCACTCTGGAACCAGATTCCACTGGTGCTCATTGATGAGCATGACAAGGACAACCCTGTCATCGTGGAGATCTTTGAGACCAACAGGACCGCTCCAGGGAATGGGACAGCTCCGGGGAACGGGACCTCTCCGGGGAATGGGACTGCTCTAGAGAACGGGATCTCTCTGGGGAATGAGACTGCTCCAGGGAATGAGACTGCTTCAGGGAATGGGACTGCTCCAGGGAATGGGACTGCTCCAGGGAACGGGACCACTGCTGCTCCTCCTGCCCCGTCCAACTTCACCTCTGAAGAGAAGAAGTACAAGCTGGCAGTGAAGCTGGTAAGAGGGGGTGCGGTGGCGACAGCATCCCCGCCACGGGGAGGGCCGGGCGCAGCCTCAATGGGTGCGGGCAGGGCTCTGCCTGTCCCTGCGCCATGCAGCAGCCCCCAGCCAGGGGCTGCCCACTGCACCAGGGCAGGGCAGAGGGGGGGCTCTGCCTGCCACCTCCACCCCTTCCTCTATGCCCGTACCCAAAGCACTGGGGACAGGCTGCGGCCACATCCCCTGCCCAGCGCCCGCTGCAGGGGCACAGTGGGGGCACGCGGTGGCCTTGCTTCCCCCCGTCCTGTTCTCCCATGGCCTCAGTCCTGCCAGGCAGTGTTACAGGCCGAGATCTTGGAAGCTGAGGCAACTGCAGCCTTCAAGAATTGAGCAAAACATGATGTTTTCTGTAAGCACGGTGAGGTAACCTCTGGGACTGATGGAGAAGCTGTCCAGCTGGGAAATATCCCTGGGAAAGGGCCCCCGATCTAGCGGGTGGCATCTAGCTGGAACTAGATGATCCTTAGGGCCCCTTCCAACCCCCACTCCATGTGGTATCACTCTCCGACCCACCTGTTGAGCACGTTCAGATGTGGCCACCGTTCCCTCAGCTCCTGCCCGGCCACAGCTTTGGTCCCTCAGGACCAGGGGACAGGGCTGGCCCGGGGCAGGAGCTGACTGTGTGTGTCTCCAGTGCAGCCACCAGGGCTCCAACAACTGCACCTACAGGAACTTCACCAGCGCAGCGCAGGCGGTGACGGAGTGGTACATCCTGCAGTCCACCAGCATCCTCTCCAAAGTCCCACTGCAAGAAAGAATCAGGATGGGCTACCAGGCAGAGGACATGATCCTGGCGTGTCTCTACGGGGCCGAACCCTGCAACTACAAGTAGGTACACACTGAGCCCTTCCTGGCACATCAGGAGTGGTGCAGGATGCTGAAGGCAGGACAGCTCTTTTATTTTTTATTTTCTAGTTTTTAAAGTATATGTAACAGCATTTCCCAGATGGTTTCTGGATGCGATCCTGGCTGAAATGGTATTTTTGGATAGTGGCTTGGTGTTTAGTTTGGATGGGCCATTTTGCTCACAATGTATTGAGGCTAGCAGCACTGATGAGACCTTCACTAGGAATTTAGCAATAATCGTTGCCAGCTCAGGTGTTGAGTCAGCACAGAGACACAGCCCTCAGTTACGCCTTATGTTTTTACGCAAGGCTCTGAGAAACGCATTTTATCCATCACTGTTTCTTGTGAATGCCGAATTTATATATACAGTTTTGAGAAATTCAAGTGCACAGCAGCAACCCAGGCTTCAAGGAATCCTGCCAGCAATACCACTTCTACAAAGAAGGCAACAGAGAATTATTATCAAAGAATGAGATATAACACAAGCCAAAGCCTATTACTATAGCTGAGATCAAGCCAGTATTTTTGGTCTCATCTGCATGGCAGGCTATTCTTTTCCATTACGATAGAGCATTATCCTCAACAGCTGTGCCTCGGTACATGTCAGTACCTGGCTTTTCTTTGTTTCCAACAGCAGATTGATTGGAATTACATCAGCTGAAATTTCTATTCAAGTGTTCAACAAATGAAGCAATTTAAAGTGAATCCCAGAGCTAGCTGCCAAAAGCCAGTCTCACCACATCCGTTATTTGATAACCCTTTAGTTCTCCCTGAGAGTCACAGTTTTATGCGCATGATTCTTCCAGGAATTTCACCCAAATCTATCACCCAGACCACGGTAACTGCTACATCTTTAACTGGGGCATGGACAAAGAGGCTTTGAATTCTTCCAACCCCGGAGCCGAGTTTGGTAAGAGAAAGCTCCACTAAAGAAAGAGTTAAAGGAACAGAAGCGCTGGGAATTATTCTGTCTCTCAATGGCAGTTTCTGTTATCTGTAACAGATTTGTAATTTCTTTTTCTCCAGAGCACTACAGCAGGGAATAACTGTTTTCCAGAGGGTATAAGTCCCCAGAATGGAAATCTGTTGCATAGAGAGAAGTAACGTGACTACAGTTAGCAGAAGTGTAACATCTGGATAGGCAAAGTATCTGAGGGAATGGCTGAACACTCAGTGAGATATTTCCATTCTGTGCATTTGCCATCATGCGTATTTACGCACGTGTAACCCTGCTGTGGCAGACAGGCTTGGGTTCTTCCCCCAAGGACTGGAGATTTCTGTGCACAGTGAGAGGAAAAGATGCTCAGGTGTTTTGTTGTTGTTTTTTAATAAAGACCTAAATTTTGATGCCATTCCTGTTCAGAATATTTTGTTTGGTGCCACAGGGCTGAAGCTGATTCTGGACATCAGCCAGCAGGACTACATCCCCTACCTGTCATCTGCTGCTGGGGCACGGCTGATGCTGCATCAACAGAAGAGCTTCCCATTCCTCAAGGATCAGGGCATCTATGCGATGGCTGGGACGGAAACCTCCATCGGCGTGTTGGTGGTATGTGTGGCATTCCTCTAGAGCAGATTGTCTGAGAATAATGTTATCTGATGGGACCGCCACCAAGTTTGTTTTAAGTCTTGGCTGAACTGGCTCAAACCAAAAGAGTCAAGGCGTGCTCTAGCTATGGGCTGGAAAAGTTTATGGAGACTTTTATGTAACTGTCCTGGCAAAGTGCTTTATTAAAGCCAAAATATTGAGCCCAGGTCATTGTTCCCTCCTCTCACACTATGTCAGAAGGTTCCTCGCTAACACATGCTGTTGGCATGTCACTCCAGAGCCCAAGTTTTGGCTGGCAACTCTGGCCAGGGCACCCGCTCTGGGCCTCTGGTTCTCCTAGAGCAGAGGTGCCAGAGCACAAGATGACAGCGATTCTCTGAGGTTTTTCTCAAAGCCAGCAGGGAATTACATATGGGAATTACAGAATCTCTGGAAAAGCAGCCCCAGGTGCTCAGGGGAGCAATAACCTCACGTTTGCTGTCTTGGTTTTCTTTCAGGATGAACTAGAGCGGATGGGCTACCCCTACAGTGACTGTACCATGAATGGGTCTGATGTCCCTGTAAAAAACCTGTACAGCGAATACAATACTTCCTACTCCATACAGGTAACACATGATTTTAAATCAAACAAAGATGTTCAGGGGAACTCTTCAAAGCAGTTGCAGATTTTGACTGGCTTGTCAGGTTACTGGAGGCTCAGCAGTGATAAGGAAGGAAGCATAACCTAAGCATGGGAACCTTCTTTTCTGGTAATAAATCAGAACTCAGGTCTGAACACGCAGTAGCCCCGGGTTTGGAAACAATCCAGTGAAGCCACTGTATTTGCACTCTGTGTTGCAGGATCAAAACCTAATGACGTAGTTATTAAAAGTTACATCAAACTATTACGAATATTGTTTTGGCAGACAACGCAGTTTCGTGTAACATACAGTCCTCATTCCTGTTCCAAAGCAGCTCACATAGCAAGGAAGCAGTATTAGTAATTTTTGCCTTATTTAGGCATGAAGTTTGTTTCATTTTGAGAGGGATGAAAACGGGCATTGCTGTAATTTTCTCAAAAGCCGTAACACAGAAAATCCCCCAGCATCTCTGTTGTTAGGCACCCTGGTACAGGCAACGTACCAGCAGAGCGCTGATTTGCAGACCAAAAAGCAAAATATTTTTACCTTGACATACAACCACGATTTAAAGCTGGTCTCGGCTGCCTCAGCTCAGCTCAGCTCAGCTCCCCCCACAGATGGTTCCTCTCACCTGAAAACATCAAAGCAAGAGGAGGTGAGCCGGGTGCCCCCGCTCCCATTAACACATCCTGGCTCCTTGGTGTTGCTCCTGAAGGGGTCGGTGCCTCGCGAGTGCTGCACGTGCCGGCCGCCTGCCACTTCAGCTTTCTCCTTCCAGGGGTCCTTTAAAAGAATACCTGATCCTGCCATGTCACTGAGGCAATTAATTTCTTTTCAGCTGTGAGAATGTCTTCTTCTACAATTTCCATGCTTGGCTGAAATCTTTTAATTATAAGGAGATCAACTGCAAGGGGCGGGCGTGCAATCATTACCTGTGTTCAACACGCGAACTTCTTTAAACTCCCGGGGTTGCTGAGCAGTCAGCACGCCCTCACGTGCCACTGTGCCAGCGCCAGTGCTGTGCCCAGGTGACTGCAGTGCTAGGAGGCTTTGCTGAGAGTGCAGCTTGTCACGAAGCAGGATGCCTCCTGCTGCTCCGGCTGCTCCGGGCGGATAACAGCAACCTGGGTAACTGTCGTGCTGCTGGCTTTAACCACGCTGCTGCTCTGCTGCCCTAAGGTGCAAAGCAGCTTGTATTTTGTGTACGCACATAATGGTGCTACTGCCCTGACAGGGATAAACACACGGGAGGGATTCCTCTCCTGAACACGCCTCTTCCTTTTTAATCCTTCTCTCTGAGAGAAATAAGTCAATTTTTACACTGAGAAGGGCTGCTTATTTTGTACAGGAAGTGAAGACAGACCTTTGTCTTTTCTTCACTTTAAAATTGGGATGAGAAAGTTGAGTGTTTGTAAACCTTGAATCTGTAATAAAAATATAGTGTAAACATCAAACACTGGTTAATTTGTAACAGGCTATAACATAAGGGAGAAACAGTCCTTAGGGGTGAGATCTGGCAATAAAGAAAACACCAAAAACATTTTTGGGGTTATTTACAAATGACTGAAGAATACATCTCAGACAAGTTGAAGGGGTTTGGTCTAGCAGGCTTTTTGCATTTCTGCCTTTATATAATTATAACAATTGGACCACTTTACCCTACTTTTTAAGATGCTTGTATAATGTTTAAGCAAATACTTGAAATGATTGCATTATTACTTAAAAGTTGCTAAATGCTGGCCAGGGTACTATGTCCGCGTAATTCGTGTCACTTCAGAGACCTCTCAGCAACACCAGCCTTTTTTATCACTCCATGATTATAGTGAATTCTGTAAGCATTTCGTGTTACATAGACATTCTCTGACTGTCCTACCTAGCTGAAACTGTTAAATTCAATTATCTTCTCATAGACTTTGTTATTGCTTTGTGCATTGTTTCATGAAAAATCCCACTCCAATCTCTGATGATTAACTTCATGCCTCGCTGAGCTAATGGCAGTGTTGCAGCCCTGGACCGCATGCTGTCGGAGCTGCAGCTGTAATCCCTTCAAGGAGAGAAACAGATGCACAGATAAGATAATTCAGATTTCTAAAGCCTGCTCTTTTTGTTGAAGTATTTTTAAAGTCTTGGCTTTCAAGTGGAAACCAACCCTTTGTCAATATGTGATATAAAACCTGGAGACAACAGCTGTGTCTGTGGATAAAACAAAACATTTTTATTCCTTTTTGGAAACTCTATATTGCTTCCACGAAACCCTAAAATAATTAAGAATTGAGCAGTTCGCTGTGCGGCTGGGAGCAGGCATGCAGCTCCCTTCTACTCCTGCGAGGTGAATTACCCACGTTAACTTGCCACTACAATTTAGCTTAAAAAACAGAGTAGTAGTAAAAATGCAACATAAAGAGAAATGTAATTGCAGTGCAGCTATAAACATGATCGCTTACTCACCAACCTCTTCTTTCTGTTGGAATCACTGCTCTGTGACAGACCACAAACAGTGCTGCTGTGAGGGGCTGCCACGCTGTGCTGCAGCACCTGGAGACGCTTGGCACAGGCTGGAGGAGCATCTCTGTAGGATGGCTCCCATGGCAGAGGCAGCTTTCTCTCTGTATGGAGCTACAAAACCTTCTACTCGGTGCAAGAGAGCCCCTGGAAGGAACGTGCCTGGGAGCAGGCTAATTCTCATAGCAAACACGGACAGCAGCAACGCTGAGATCACCAGGGAAGTACACCCCACTTCTAAGCAGCTCCCTCTTCCCTTTTTCCAGGCCTGCCTGCGTTCCTGTTTCCAAAATCACATGGCTGAGATCTGTGGATGCGGTCACTACATGTTCCCTTTACCCGAAGGGGTAACTTACTGCAACAACGACGATAACCCAGGCTGGGGTAAGAGCACCAACAAAGCTGCCTGTACGGCCTTCCCAGGGCACTGGCACGCAGGAGGGAGGGCCTGGGCGCGCGTTTATCACTACTGAGAAATTAGAATTGAATCTATGAAATGAATATAATCCAGTAAGTGCGGTTCTTATCTAAACAGAAGCTTCGATTTTTTGTTTTCACCAAACAGCATACTGCTATTCATCACTGAGATCAAGTATAAGACAGAGACAAATTTGCATTGACTCTTGTAAGGAGACATGCAAGTAAGTACTTCGACTATTTCTGGCAGCTGTAGAGGTAAAAGAATCCCGCATTTTGTCTCCCATCAATTCTGACCTCCTTAAAATTGCAGAAAACTGAGCGGGGTTGCTTATCTGAATGAGAACTGAAGTTCCAGTGACTTGTGTGTTAATGTTCTTTCCCCCTTCTTCCTAGCGACACGCAGTATAAAATGACCATCTCTATGGCAGACTGGCCATCTGAAGCCTCAGAGGTAACACTGATTTCTTGTTTTGAAACAGCCATTAATAACTACCCGTTCTTAACCACGTGAATCACTCGGTACTTTTAGAGTTAATGCCCAGGTAGCAAGGGCCTCTTTGCTAAATTACACATTTTCAGCTTGCAGACAGAGCCTAACCCCAGAGCATGAGGCACGAGGGGTGACAACCCCACAGCAGCATGAGCAAAGCTGAGTGACCACTGAGTGACCACGCTCCCTGCCAGGCAGGGCACGGCACAGGCTTTCCTCCTCCAATATCGCTGGCATGGCACAGGGCACGGGTGCTTACCTTCAGCCCTGCCTCGCACACGCCGCCCGGTCGGGGTCTGCAGCGCACTCACTGGGAGCTGTCGCCTTGCTGCTTCGTGCCTTTGGGAGCAGAGCAGCCAGGAACGGGGCCACCTGCCCACAGCACGAGGGTGGTGGAGGCTGCAGGGGCAGTCAGGTCTCGTGGGCTCCCTAAAGAGAGAACAAACACTCATTTGGACCACGCACTAAGCACTCAGGATTAACCTGGGATCGATGCTAGGTGTGCAGCCCTACCTCTTGCCCCCGCCACGCACCAGAGGCTTTGCTGCCCCGCTGGCTGCCCGCCTCACAGCACGCCGTGCCCGCATCCTCCAGGCGGGCAGCACGGCTCCCAAGGCAAACCCTGTTCGGTACGGTGTGCCTCGTGACACAGAGTCAGTTAGAGCTGATTTCAGAGGAGATTTCAGACATGCACTGTGATTCAATTTATTCCGGCACATGGCCACCAAGGACTTCACACACAGCCCTTACAGAAAAACTTTATCTTAACAATCATCTCTAATCCTGAATTGATAAAACAACAGCCAGCATGGCTCTGCTACCGCTGCATAAACGCAGCCACAGCAACTGTGCTTGAGCAAAGGCATCTACAAGTTGCGAAGTGCAGGAGTTAGGAATGGGTAAACACGCACCATCTTCTGCCACAAGCTCCCGTTAATTGCCTTTGCCTCCTAAGCACATGGGACGAGTGCCTTATGAACTCACCGCGTTAAACCAGAACGCCCCTGCAGCCCGACACCATCTGTGGACACAAAGTCAGAGTCAGTGGAGGCAGCGTGGTGACGTGCTGTAAGCCCTGCACAAACCACCGGGTGGGAGTGGGACGGAGGACACTCGACCAACACGTTACTCAGTGTTTTTAATCCAACAGAGCTGGATTAAAACAGGACTACTCAGGACAGGTTTCTTACTGCCCTGGGTTCCTGCCCTGGCAAGTGCTTAGACAGGATGCTGTTCTCTGTTCTGAATTAGTTCTGTTTCCCTAGGACTGGATTTTCCATATTTTGTCTTACGAAAGGGACATGTCAACAAATGTGACCCTGGACAGGTAAGTGAGAAGCACAACCACTGTATCTTCTCTGTCGAGCCTGCCTACATTAGTTGAACGCGTGCCTTGGCCATCAGCCAGAGCGCACACTGCTAATGCAGAAAGTAGAACAAGATTCAGCACACGCTTGCCTGGAAAATACATGAAGCAAGAAACGCACCTCGCGCACATCGTCTGCTCCCCACAGTAACAAACGGGGTCAGGCACAACTGCGAACATGGAGTTAAATTAACATGAACATGAGCTATGCTTCCAGCTGGTCCCATCCAGCAGCCTGGAAGCTCTGACGTGCTGCTCTGCAAGGGTTCAGCTCCTGTAGTGCTGCGTTCGTCCCTTTATACTTATGCCTCCAAATTGTCAACAGCAGCAGCAGGAGGGGGTTACACCAAAAGCAGGGTGGCTGATGAGTTATCCCTCGATAACCTAGGCCCTGAGTTACAGGGAAGAAAGGAATGGGCAGGCTGGGGAAGCACAGGCAGCTCCCGTGGTGTTTGTTGCTCAGCATGCCTGAAAAGCCAGTTCTTGCGGAGGCCGAGGAGCCCTGCGTTAACCCACGTATTGCAACACAGCCTGGGCTGGTACAAAGCTCCAACCGGGTCCTGCCCTAATGCCAGGCCCTAAAAACAAATCAGAGCAAAACAAAAAGAAGATGCTTAACTTCTGCATGGTGAGCAAACACCTCACCAGCACCACCCAGCCTCGCCAGCAGCTCCGTGTGTGCCCTGACTGGCTGCTGAGGGCAGAACCAGGGCCTGGGCTCCTGCCGCCCTGGGGCTGTTGCACGATGCGGCTGCTGTGTCCCTGTGGCTGGAACACAAGCAGCACTGGAGCACAAGCAGTGCAGTGCTCAGGGGAGGCTTCAGACCAACTAAGGCAGCTGGGAAAAAAACACAGCGGGCAGCCCTGGAGAAGGTTCCAGGTGCACAAGTGTTTTTGCAGGAGCAGAGCCACATCCCTCCCCCAGCACATGTTCTGCAACAGGGAACGCTGCTGGGCTTCTCCCCGCAGTGGGCAGAGGTTCCTGCTGTTGGGCTGGGAGCTGCCCTCCCCCTGTGCAGCGGGCAGTGCGTGCCCGCGGGATGCCTGCAGTGTGACTTACTCTGAGCTCCCGTCCTGTGTTGCAGGACCGGCATCATCAAGCTGAACATCTACTTCCAGGAGTACAACTACCGGACCATCTCGGAGTCTGCTGCCACCACGGTGAGTGCCCCGCGCTCGCTTCATGCGGTGCTGCGGCAGGGTTGCTGTGGGCTCGGCACCAGAGCCCACGGCACCAGCAGCCCCACCTCACCTCTCTGTCCCGCTCTCCCACCTGCAGATTGTCTGGCTGTTGTCGAGCCTGGGAGGCCAGTTCGGGTTCTGGATGGGCGGCTCCGTGCTGTGCCTCATAGAGTTTGGGGAAATCATCATAGACTCCCTGTGGATCACTGTTATCAACATCATCGGCTGGTGCAAAGGCCTGAAGCAGAAGCGGGCGCAGGCGCGGTACCCGGACGCACCGCCCACGGTGTCGGAGCTGGTGGAGGCTCACACGAACCTGGGCTTCCAGCACGAGGAGGCCGGCCCTGTCCCCAGCCCAGGGGCCGAGGCGCTGCCCCCGGAGCCCGGCACCCCCCCACCCAACTACGACTCGCTGCGCGTGCGGCCGCTGGACGCTCTGGGCCTGGACAGCGACGCGGAGACCGAGTAAGCAGCACACCCGCTGCCCCCGCGGACTGAGCTGCTGCTGTGCTCGGTTCACAGCTTGCTGAGCAGCCTCCGACGCTTTGGCAAAATCAGGAAAGAGCCGAAAGCCCTCGCTCTCCTCCCCTCCCCTAAAATGTTCACTGTGAAGAAGCGCTCTAATAAATCCTGCAATAAATCTCAGAGCCTGCGTCAGGCTCTGGCTTTAGCACACAGAGCTTGTATGAACCGACTGGTGATATAATAACCCCGCTTCTCTCCGATGAGCAGCCATGCGCACAGGCATGTGTGGAGCTCTTCCTCCTGGGCAGCTTGGAGGATGCCGAGCTCCTGGGTCTGCCCAAGGGGCTGCGGTGCCAGAGGCACGAGGAAGCAGCGCTGCGAGGCAGCCACGCTGGGAGGGGACCCGGGAGCCCTCCAAGGTGCAGGAGCAGGAACTGTCACAGCCCGTTGGACAGAGACTGCAGCTTGTGCTGCAAGCGTGTGCTGCAGCGTGGGCTGAGCCAGATCTGCGGGGCCCCAGACTGCTTTTGACTAGAGATCACCGTAATTCCATGTCTAAATGGCTCTGATGTAAACAGAGTGAAAAGAACATCCTTTTGCTGCTCGGAGGCTTCACGCTCTGCAGTCTGTTTGCTGCTCAGTTGTTGTTAATGCTCGCCCTGAGGTGAGCACACCGGTTAATGTGTGTCAGAGATAAGTACTCCAGACTTGATAAAGCTTCAGGCGCGGAGAGGAAGCACCAAGACATTTACAGTACCATTCTTGGCAATAAATAAACAAATTAATTGAAAAGTCTCCTTTAGAGAGGTTCCTGTTGGCAGAGGGTGGAGCTCAGCCTGGCAGGGTGCTGAGCAGCATCTTGGGGCAGAGGGCGAGGGGCTGCACTCGCCTGACCTCGCTGCTGCCTGCACAGGGCGCTGAGCCCAGGGCACCGGTACCGGGCTGCTGGCACCGCGCCTTGCCAGGGGGCTCCGTGCCCATCGCAGCCACGCTGAGGATCTGCTGAAGTACTTGTGCAGAACTTCAAGAGGAAACATGATCGTGTGGTTAACTCACAGGACTGGGAACTTGATGTCCTGGGCATGGTTCCCAGCGTGGCGTGACGGCTGCGGGTCCCAGGGCAGCCGGTCCCAGCGCCGTCCTTCCTCATGGGCCCCAGCACATTCCCCATGGGTGGGTGTGAAGGTGGGGGCCGTGCCCCCGGGGGTGCCGGGGGCTCTCGCAGCATGCCGTGCTTGGTGGCAGCGTGCCGAGGGCTTTGTGCTGCTCGCGGGTGGGTGCTGCCAGCACCCATGGTGGCAGCAGGGCACCCAGCTGCCCAAAGCCACCAGGACAGCGCCCGCGTGCCTCCAGCACTGCCCCTGCGTGGGGACAGAGAGCACCGAGTGCCCCGCAGCACGGCTGGCAGCAGCCCCCATGGCTGATCCCCCACATTCAGACAAGGACCCAGCCCCAAGTACCGCATCTTGAGCACACTGAGCCATAAACCGTGACAACCGCAGGGCCAGACTGGGTAGGGAGGAGATGCTGGCCTGGACACAATCATCTCTCTAAGGGTCCCCTGTTCTGCTTTCCCCTGGTTTTTGTTCCTGCTGTTTGCACTGCCCAATTTCTGTGTTTCTGCCAGGCGGAAGGTTCCTGCACACGCACAGGTGAAAGCACGAGTTAGAAAAGCAAAGCCTTTCATTTGGTTTATTAAATTCCTGGAGCCTTTCATTATGATCTGTTTCTAAAATAGGAGCCTGTTACAGGTTACCTCGTTTGCACAGGCCAGAACCAGTTACCATTGCCCACGGTTTTTCTGCTTACATTTCCTTTTCTGCGCCTATCAACAAACAAGGTGAGATACAGAGAGACAGATTTACCTTGACTAACTGTCTGGAGCGTGAAGTCCTCAAGTGTTCGAATTACAAATCACTTCCTCGACAGGAGTTTCTTTCAGCCACTTAAGGGATAAGGCAGCAATGCATCTCCAGGGTCAGGGTTGCAGTGGTAAATGAACAGGGGCTGCACGCTGCCGCCACCACAGGAACCTCCCTGAAGTTACTCACAGGTGGCACCGAGGAAATAAGCAAGAACCTGAAAAGTTGAAGGGAGCAGGTATATAAAAACCAAACACCGTCACCAGATTTTAGGAATTTTAGATCTTTCTTGCATTAGAAAGCTGCAGCTGCCAGTGCCAATGTCACAGAAGGAAAAGGAGAATCAAACCTATCGACTGCATTTGGGGTTATTCTATTTACTCCAAAGGCCTCTTGCAATTCTGAGAGAATGAGCTTTTGCTTCCTGCTATCCCAGTCAGCTGGGGACAATGGCTTTGGTGAGGCTGCACTGTCACTGCCCGCTCCTTCTCTGCGAGGAATTTCTCTGCTCAAAATTCTTTGAAAAAGTCAAACCCTTAATGACTGGTGGATTGCTGGTCTAAGGCTGCAGTTGCAGTTACAAGACAATGTGCTGGAATATTTGTAGCCTTCATTTTCAAAAGACTTGACTAATGATTTTTTTTAACTTTATGATTAGCTCCGAAAAACAATGGCAATTTACAATGAAGTTTTGATTTTCTACTCCTTCTGACACCTACAAGTTTTACAGACATTTTCCAGTTTCACTTGGTGATTCCAAGAACAGGACACTTAACCACTGTCTTTAAGTTAAATTCCAATTCTTAAATAACAAAACAATGCCAGGAGACAGAATTACAAGGAAACACACCGGCTGTGATGCCAGCAGCTGCCACCGGCAGGCAGGTTCCTGTATGCTGAAGCAATTCTGCTTTAGCGATCACGTTCTTGGTACATTTGTTTTTTCTGGTGTTGGTCTTGGTGCCATTCCTAACCATTCCACTTGAACCAGCTGGTATTTTTAAAAGGCGTTTTATAGCACCTGGAACAATTCCTCCAGAAGTTTTGCCTCAGATAGTAACAACACACGATTACCTTCCATAGACGGAGCAGAGAACAGATTTGCTATGCTACATCAGAAAAAGAACTTTAACAAAAAACACTTCAATCCTCCAGCACCAGACTCCGTGTGAATTGGAGCAGTAAGTCAGACCTCAGCAAGCAGAACTCATCCCCCAGCTGCAGCCTCACCTGCCTCTGATTCCGACCAGGGTGAGGAGTGGAAAAGTAGGGGTAGTTTGCAGTCACCTGCAGCCAAAGAACACCTAAAATAAAGGATACGAGGAATCCAGATTTAGGGTACCCCTGCTTAGAACATCCGCTGGCTGCCCCAGAGCTGTATTTGTTGGTTCCCCCACCAAGAGCCTGCTGACACGGCCGCTCCAGGCCAGCAGAGGCATTGTGCAAGTGGGCACCGTAAGGATCCTGGGGACAGCCAGAGCTCAGCAAGTGACAACAACCGCAGTGACAGGGCAGATGAAAGGTGGTTAGGAAACTTGCTACAGACAGAGGAATCCAGTTCTTACAAGAGCTGTCCTAGACTTTTCAGCTCCTCGCTTCCCCTCTCCCGAATTGTCTTACCCAAGGCTGCAGAGCCACGGCCTGGCTCCTTCATGGAAAAGGAGACCCCTGTGCGGGGGCAGTGCTTTGTGCCACAACTGACCCAGAAACAAGCGGCTGACACCCTTCCCCACCAACCCCATAGGCACAGACCAACCCATAATTTCCTTGGGGAAGACCTCCAAATGATTTTGCAAGTGAAAAAACACCGCCCCCTCCATCAAGGCAATACAGCAATGTGCCCGGGCTCATGCAGGAAGCCAGCAGGAGAGCTGACAGCAAGAGCCTGGGCACGTATCCCCGTGCTCTCCCCAACAGACATTATCAGCACCACTTCCAAGAGAGCCAGTCGCAGGGGAACCCAAACAGCTGTCCATACAGAAAGATGCTGCAAAGGGACGCCAGGCGCTTTTCTGCAGGGCATGCTGCAGGGACGGGGAGGTGGGGGCACATCGGGCAGGCAGCCCTCCCGTGCAGCCCCCCGTGGGTCCCATCCTGGGGCACCCTGTGCAGTGACAGGAGAGGCAGCAGCAGGTCTCAGCGAGGAGCTGGCAGCGCAGGCAGCCTCCAGCACCTCAAACCTTTAGCCCCAGCTGGGTGCCTGCCCAGGGCTATTTGCCCTGTGAACTGCTGTAACAGCGGGCAAGAACAGCTTCAAAAATCCTCACTTTCTAGTTACAAGCCAGGAAAAGGATGGGAGAGGCACAAACAATGAGATTCACCCCTCTCACACCTATGGTAAATCGGAACAGCATGTACTCTGGCAGGACACGGGCAGTTTACTATTCCAGTTACTGCTGGTTTATAGAGGGCGTCTGACAACTAATAAAAGTGGAAAGTGTCTCGGGTACTTGACTTAGTCTCTTTACTAGTTTAGCTCTTTCCCAAATGTACTGATTGCCACACACAGATAAGCGTATGTATGCAGCGTTTTTTTGCTGTCGCGGTAGTGCAGCCACAGGAAGACTCGGCTGTGCCCTGCACGGGACTGGGCACAGAGGTGTCCAAGAGCAAGGCTTCGCAAGTCACAGCAGAACAAGGCACCCGAGAAGTCCCAGCTCAATACGGCACCAAATTTCCCATTCATTTGTGGATTTTTTAATAGTCTTTTCATACTCACAAACAAAAAGAATAACCATCTAACTGAGAACAGTGCCAAGAAAATAAATGCAGAAAACTATTTTAATTTTCTGTTCTGAAATGTCTTAGGTTCCAAAATTTGCAAAGTCTAAAAACTGTTTATAAAATACCCTTCCTCTCCTCACCTCCCCAGACTAAATTTTTGGCAGTAAAACACGACCAAAGTCCAGACGAGAGCAGCAAAGGAACCCGATTTTACCCCCTAAACACATCTGATAAAAATAAGCCTGCATCTGCATGTTACATGTGTGCTATAGAACACACAAAAAAAGGTGTTGGTGTGACAAAAACAGGCAGGGGACTTCTGAAAAAAAGCAGCAGATTTGGCAGTCACGGCAGCTAAGCACACAGTCACCAGGGGAGATGTGTCAGACTGAAGAGTCCCAAAAGGGGCCACCACAAACGTAGCAATGCTGGGACAACAAGCAATAGCTGTTAAAAAAACAGAGGCTGTTTTGGACTGTTTTCCCTGGCAAAGACAGCAAAGAGATTTGTGGATCAAGCAAAACACTGATTAGAGCAACCTGAACCAAGTTAAGGAAAGAGGCAAAAATAGGCGTACTGGGAAAAAAATTACTTACCCAAGGCATCTGGTGTTGAAAAGAGGAGAA